TAAACACACACTCAGACGCACACACACAGGAGGTGTTCAGGGTCGTGCAGAGGCGTAGCGACACCTCCCCGACAAACTTTCAATTTGGCGCCCCCCCCCCTTATATTTTTAATATTTATACTTCAAAATAGCAGCTAAAATGAGCTTATTTTGGCGCCCCTATGGTCGACGCCCGGGGACCTATGTACCCCTCCCCCTGCCCACCCCCCGTCGCTACGCCTCTGGGGTTGTGTGGTTCGGCGATTAAGAGCATGTTTACCCGCCCTTAAGTCTCGAGTTCAAACCCTCGAGCAGATGAGGTTTGCTGGGGATAGTAACCCATCTGAGAGAGAAAACTCAGTTATCAAACAGGAGTGAAGTCCCTTAGGTGATAGGCTCACCAACTCTGGTTACCTTTCAGGAGCTCCTGCGACTTTGTTGATTCCAAATTTAGGTAACGTCCTGTCCCTTGGATTCGTAAGCTGTGTGGAGAGAGGGGCATGATACATAGGCAAAACTTATCGCTTCTATCACGATCTTTCTGTCCAGGATTTTCCCTTGGAATTCCATTACATGGTTTAATTGAGTTTTATATATATATATATATATATATATATATATATATATATATATATATATATATATATATATATATATATATATATATATATATATATATATATATATTTATTTATTTATTTATTTATTTATTTATTTATTTATTTATTTATTTATACATATATTTGTAGGTGTGTGGGTGTGGGGGGGGGGGGGGGGGGTGTTAGGGTGTAGTGTGTGTGTGTATGTGTTTGTGTTTGTATGTGTGTATTTGTCTCTTTGTGCAAAATGTACCAGTTATAATAGCAAATGTAAATGTGTATTTACAGGGTGAAATAGTTTTAATATATGGACAATCTCTTCATCTAAATTTTAAAACCTTTCTATGCTGATTAAGAACCTTGGGTCCATGAAAGTCAAAACCATTATGAGAAACAGGACATAAGGGCAATCACTCGGTGAAGGAAACTTTTAAGGTCGATTCTCGTATTTTAAATTTATTCTAGATGATATGAGTAAATAGGAATGAAAACAGAATAACATGTTACTGGCACAATGCAGGTTTTTATATGTATTAAGAACCTATGTTATCAAGAAATCCGGCATTCTACAAATGGAAGATTTTGGTGTAAAACTGTATATGTCGCATTGTGTATCAAACATGCAAGAATGAATTCTGCAGGGGAAATTTATTGCCACTCAATAAGTTCAAACAGATCTAATGCAAATTGTTTTTAGCCAAACACCAAGAGCTACAGTGACAAATTAAAAACAGAAACCTATACAACTTTCAAAATCTATATTTAACCCATTGTCAAAACTAGGCCATTAGGCTTCCCTTCTCGGGTATTTTGACGCTGAGAAAATACGTGACCTTCAGCACTCCGTATAAACCTGTTTTTCAACAGAATAAGGTTATCATGACATAAAACATACATAACAAACATAAAAAAACCTTTATAACAGTAAGCTTTTAAAAGCTTAAAAGAATAAGAAAATAAATTACATTTGTGAGAAATCTCATCAGCGACCAATGCTAGATTTTTATTTCTTATTTCATTGCATTTAAAAGGTTTTTGTTATATAGATATATAATATTTGTTTCGTTTTCTACTTGTTAGTTATTCGTCCTTATATAAGTCGACAGCAAATGTGACTAAAATAACACGCTTAGAAACCCGATGAGTAGCTTGCAATCTCTAGAAGACAATTATCCAGAGGCGTAGCGATCCTTTCCGGCGCCCGGGGACAAACTTTCGATTTGAAACCCCCTCCCCCCTTCAAACTTTCGATTTGCACCCCTCCCCCTCTCAAACTTTCGATTTCCACCCCCTTCAAACTTTCAATTAATTTTCCCAACCCATTTTGGCTCCCCCTAAGGCCGGCGCCCGGGGACATTTGTTCCCCCCCCCCCACCCCCCTCGCTACACCTCTGCAATTATCTTCCTTTTGTTGGTCCATTCTCGATTGCTAGGCAGGATAACCCGGCTTTCATACGATCTTTAAAAAAATACATTTACTTTAAAATATTTTTTTATCATTCATGCACACGAATGCGTTGATATTATAATTGATTGTACATAATGTATAGAATCGTAACATTCGTCACGCATAAAGTGTATCTCTCCATTAAAACCTCTTTTCACATTAGGTTGACCCTATTTTTCTACACATTTGCTTCGTTAAACACTAACTCGGTTATCAAAAGTTATTTCTCTTTCTGCACGAAGATAGTGAAGTTTATTTTTTTAATTTTTTTTTGTTACAGTGTTCTACTATATTAGTAAACATAACAACATTGTTCACTCTAGAATTCAATTAAATACAACTAAGCTTATTTTCAATTTTTAGCGCATTTAAAAGTTTGTTGTTTTAGAGATTTTTATTCTACTTTGTTGGTTTTTTAAAATCTTTATCCGTACTTGTTTATTGTAAAGATATAAGGTTTAATAAATCAATTCGTTTTTTTTCTTTATGTTCTCCTAGCCATCCTTCTCTAAGTCGACATCTCTCCTACCTAGAACAACCAGAATCGACATACTACCGGAATAATCATTTATAAAAATAAAATCACCTTTTACCAGATTACTTTGTTGTCTTGTTTCTAAAATGTGGCAAAACATTACACAAACATCAGCTCTCCTGACAGAGTGGGTGTGGGTTTAAATCTTGTTATCTCCCTTGGTAGTATTTGTTTTTGTTTTCATTAAATAACTTAATTCGAAATATAATTATATTATAATTAATTATTTAATGAAAACAAAAACAAATACCATATCAGGGGAGATAAGTAGATTATGTTCTAGGGTTGTCATTGGCGATACACTTATTTTGAAAGTTGGAAAGACATTTTTAAAAAAATAGGACTGGTAAGTAGGTCACCAACCAGTTCTACGGCTCTATAAAACATGCATGAGCCATAGAACTGGTTGGTGACCTACTTACTAGCCCTATTAGCAATGTCTCCAATTAGATTGATAATATTTGATAATTACTGAACAGAACCACTATAACCTAAGTAAAACATTTAAGCCAGTATTGATCTTTTTATTTTGATTTGTATACTGATATCGCAAGGTAGGTTAAGTCTAAGGTTAAGTGAAATGGAAGGATTTAGTTTTGGGTTATGTTACGGGTTGGATGACGTCTTGATGAGGGATTGGTGTTAGAACCCGTGGCGTAGCGAGGGGCGGGGGCGGGGGGGGGGGTGCGGACCGCACCGGGTGACACCATTTAGGGGGGGTGACACCAAGGCAAAAAATGGCAAAATATATAGAGAAAAAATGATAATTCCACTTAATTAAGTGATTCATTCGACTGTTAAAAAGTCTTTTAAGAGGAAATTTGACAAATCCCGACAAGGGTGGAAGGGGGTGCAAATCGAAAGTTTGAAGGGGGGGGGTGTAAATCGAAATTTGAAAGTTTGTCCCCAAGCGCCGGGAAGGGTCGTTACGCCTCTAGGGGGGGGGGTGACACCATTAAGTGCCGCACCGGGTAATAACCGACCTCGCTACGCCACTGGTTAGAACCATAGAATTGTCAGGTCTATTTTAAACCTAACCTTAACTAATAAGTGCAATATGAGAACTATATTAGGTACATATACATATTAAGCCTAAACCTAATTGATATATGGTACATTTTCTCGTAAGACCTAATGATCAATTGGGCAGATGAAGTAAATTTCATGTTTCTCCACCTCGGCATATAAATGGATAGAGTGGTCAGCCCTATGCCAAGCGCAAGTCAGGTACCCATAAGAGCTAGATGAACTCAGGGACATCTTACAGTCAGAAGTCTTAACAAACTCAGATTCGAACTCGAGTCATTGGGCTTGCAGCTAAAAGCTCTACCATTCTACCACGCCGTCCTAGATACGTGTCACATAAGACTTCTAAAATATACTCGTACATCGTAATCCTAAACCTCACAAATAGGTGCGATTTGAGGCTTTTACCACACACACGTCAACCTTAAACCTTACCCTTACTAAACCACCAACCAGGAACCTTCACTCATACTGCGTCGTAACAAGTAGTTGCCCTTGAATTGTGTACATCATAAATTGGCAGTAATCGCCCCTTTACGCAGCTTAAGTTCTAAGCCTACGTTTTTATTCTTTTTATCGAACTAAAGAAACTGCACTGAGAAATTGAAGGTGAAAAAGGAAGAGCACAGTGCTATAAACAAAATGCATTATGTATTGGCTTTAGATAAAACAATTCGGAAGGGTGGGGGAGTGGGGTGAAGGGGAGGTTGACGCATGTGGAGTGGTTGGTTAATGTACGCCTGGGGGCTCGGGAGGTTCGCACATAATGTAAACGTCGTTTGATGTTATGAATGACGCTGGTGTTTTCGTCAGAATATCTTTTACTTTTTTGTAAACGGAGTATACAGGAAGTATTGTAATTGTGCAAAATATTAAAATCGAGGTTTTTCAAAAATCTCGACGTACTAGACTCTAGACCTTCCTGAATCGGAAAATCTTAATTTTGAAATCTTGTCGGTATCTGTGTGTGTCTGTGTGTTCTTGAACAAGATAACTTTAGATCGGGTGATGAAATTTCATGTATAAGTATTTCATCAAATTTACAGTTCTGTATCAACTATTCAGCAATTTCCGACAACCGGAGGTGGAGTTTTCTACTTTTCATTTTCTTTTCAAAAGCCTATAATTTCAGTACTGTTTCTGATAGATTGATGAAATTTCACATGTAAGTTAAAGATCTAATTCTCTGTTTTTCTAAAACTCGAAATATATTTTCAAATGTCCAATCTTCATGCATTGTACCAAAAAAAAAAACCCCACATAGATAGACTGATAATTTCAAATGAAACTACACTCTTAAGCAACATATTGTACAAAGACATAACTATTTTAAGCATCAGACGAACCTTGGCCCACTTTAAGTAATGTAATTTTGATACAATCAAAACCCGTTTGTTTTAATGACGCGCATTGATGCTGGCCCTTTGCAGGTGACAGGTATGTTTTCATGTTTAGTAAACACGTATAAAGTATGCATTGTCTACTAACACTATACAAATACAGATCCGCTTCAAATAAATATATGTTATTTGTTTACTTCATCCTGAACATGTATGATAGTTTTTTTTGTATTTTTCAATACACGTTCATTTTAATGATTCTTTATTCAACTTTCTCCATACTAAAATAAACAGGAATACGTTTATTTAAATATGACAAATACACAACTTTGAACTTACACAAAAGAATGTTTTATTAGAACATGTATTCGTCAGTATTGTTTCAGATTCTTGAGAGTGTATCTCTTAAAACAATAATTGTAGAATTTCGTTATGTGTATTCGTATTTACAAATGTTCTTTCCCGCTGTAAGTCACAACGATATGTTTTTGTCAGTCGGAATATGTTAAAAACTTGTCGAAAATTCATTTGATCATTTTAATACGTTAGGACGACGATCGTAAAATACACTTCTTTCATAAGAATTGAAATATTTTAGAAGAAAAAAAAAAAAATTAGAACAAGATTTGAAAAAAGTCGCTTGTAACAAAATGTAAAAACGTTACATCCTGTTTAACAACGGCTATGTAACTATTCTTCTTTGAGCCTAGTATAATTATATTATAACTGTTGGGATGATATACGATGGGTATTTCAGCCCAGTAATCTGGGGATATTAGTATGTAATTTTAAGACTGAGAGCTGCTTAGCTTTTTTTAAAACATACTTTAGGGAGAATATTATTGCGACAAAAAATATTTACCAACCAAATCTATGAGATGGGATTGTCTCAGTTTAGTTGATCTAAATATGATTCCAATGAGATGTTGCATTTTGGGGTGAAACGATTTTTGTTTTTTTTTTATTAAAAAAACATACGTATGAATAAATAAACACTTTAGAAATAGCAAACACGTTGTCTTGATAATTTATATTGAAGTCTAATTATTTTTCATTCTGGAAATAGTTGTAATTGTAAATCTACTCTGTGAGTACTGCTAATTCTGGGAATGTTAGTCTCCTAAGCTTCGCTGCAAAAATACAAGTTCCTGATTTAGAATGTATTCAATTTTAGCCTCTTTGAAATTATAATATACTCTTTGTTTATAAAAGTTAGAGCGTGTTATGAAAGAATATGTAGGCATAATTTGAAAATGCAGAATATCATCAGCGTTTAGTAGTAACAAACGTAAATTTTCTTTAGAAATAACAGCTCAAATAAATGTGTTACATTGCGCTTAAAATTTTATCTTAAAGGTGAAGTAGAGTTCATCTCTTTCTCTTACTTAGGCACTTAAAAATAAGTATAGTCAGCTCTCTACCGAGCCGTATTTTCTTTCACCGACTAATTAGTCAGGTACCCATTAGAGCTGAGTGGGTTCAATGTAGAAATAGAAACTATTAACACACTCTAGTTTTAAACGGGTGTTCCTTATTGTGTTAATCCTTGAAAAAAATGAATACGGGTTGGAGACAGGCATTATTAAAGAAGCAGAAATATAAACCTTTGTGTACCTATCTCGTTGAAATAATACTATATGTTAATACTGCTATTTCGTTGGAAAAAAAAGAGTATTAAATAGAATTATACATATTTGAAGACAAGAAAATATTGTATCCGATTTTAATTTAAAGTCCTCGAGAGGACAGATACAGTAGCAAAGAGGAATTCTCCTCAATCTAGAGGTACAAAGACAGTAGCAGAGAGAAATTCTCCACAACCTAGAGGGACAGATACAGTAACAGAGAGGAATTCTCCACAACCTAAGCCATGGATCAATCGTCTAGGCCTTCCCAGAACTCACCAGTGGACGACACAGCCGCTAGAGGTGTCAATAGTCGTCATCGCTCGCAACAAGATCTGATGGAGATTCGCCGCCAGAGGCAGTTAAATAAGGTTCATTTTTACTTTCTCGTATATACGAGGTATAGAGAAAGTCTTGTAATCGTGCAAAAAAAAAATCGAGATTTTTGCAAACCTCGATTTTTTACACCTCACTGAAACGGAAATCATAATTTTGCAATCTTGTCCGTATGCCTGTGTGTCTGTGTGTGTGTAAACACGATAACTTGAGTGCCGTTACAGCTAGGTTGATGAAATTTCATATATAAGTATTTTATCAAAATCGTAGATCCGTATCAACTTTTGAGTTATTTCTGATAACCGAAAGTGGTACTTTTTCTACTTTGAATTTTTTTGAGTACTATTTCAGATAGATAAATGAAATTTCACATGTAAGTAAAAGATCTAATTCTCTACCTTCTGTCAAATGTTGAGTAATTTCCGTTGACCGGAAGTACTAATTTACGCTATTTTTCCGATTTCTCAAAAAACGCATGTAAATTGATAAAGTACTAATAATATTGCGACCTATTATGAACATCTTTATTTGGCGTTCGCTTGGTGCGCAATTCTTTTTTCTATGAGCTTCTATTCTTTTTTAAAAAGTTTAAGTATTTAAAATGGATTAAAAATCATAACTATATCCCGAGTTCCCATCCCCTGTTGTTTTATTTAAGAATATTCGAGAAAGTTTAGGGGAGATCACTCCCGGTTTATTTTTTCTACTTATAGCTACTGAGCTTGTGTTTAATAAAGGGAAAATAAATACTTAGTAATCACTGTTATTATTAGGTTAATTATCTTTTCTTTTAACACATGATTAAAGTTTATAAACGGTGTAGTAATCAATGTCACTACTGCCTTGATTTGTGATCTTATATTTTCAGGCAAGGAAAGAGAGGGAAGGTTTAGACCAGAATTTTATTCTTGAAAATCTGGCAAAAGATGAACCCAGTGCAGTGACATTTTTGGATAACTCTAGAGGAGTAAGTCAAAATATATTGGCAGTTTATTTTTTTTAACTTACTCTAAAACATTTTATCTAAGTAGTATAAAAACAACCTTTAAAAAATCTCTCTAAAAATGAGCATAATAAAAACAATATAGAAAACACATCTTGTAAAATTCAACACTAAAAATTAAGATAATAAATTAACAAATTAATATTTTAAAAAGTACTTATAAAAATTACGACTGATCTGACAGCTGATGTTTACGTTTCCTGCAGCAGTATCAGTGGGTAGGGGAAGGGGGGTTACGTAGGGTGGGGCTGGTGGTGCCATGGATAAGATATTCAGAGATAAAGGCGGGGGCGGCATTGTACTTGTACTTTTCTTAATGTATATATATATATATATATATATATATATATATATATATATATATATATATATATATATATATATATATATATATATATATATGTATATATATATATATATATATATATATATATATATATATATATATATATATATATATATTCCCTACATAAGATTGAATTTGAAGCTGATGGCAATGAAATACCCAGAAATCCTGAAGGTTTTGTGGGTCTAAATCCCACTGCCCTACCACAGCCATGTGGAAATCCCGATGGAGCCGCGCCTTTCTATCCAGCATACCCCTCAAAAGATAACCCATGCAGGCACCAAGACCCACAGTCCCATCTGTTTACTGCTGGGGTGTATCCAACTAAACAACCTCTGTATCCTCACCAACCATTGTTTCAACCTGTGAATCAGCCGCCAGCGAATCAACAAGCTTTTCAACCAGTGGATCAGCCGGTTTATCAACCTGGGAATCAGCCGATAAATCAACCTAGGAATCAACCGATAAATCTACCAGTAGATCAACAGATTTATCAACTTGGGAATCAACCGATAAATCAACCTAGGAATCAACCGATAAATCTACCAGTAGATCAAAAGATGTATCAACTTGGGAATCAACCGATAAATCAGCCAATGAATCAAAATGAGAATCCACAAATCAACCAATGGAACATGGGCCAATATCCACAGAACGCAACCCCTCAACCCTACAACCCACAGAACAACGTGTGGTCGACCAACCAGCCGGATGAGATAACCACACAGCAACCACACAGCCAAACTGATGTTATCATTAAAAGACAGGTAATCATGACTAGGATAAATTATTAAATATGTTTTCTTCCCTGGAGCTAGTAATCTGCAGATTTGAACTCAATGCTTTGGGTTAGTAAGCATTTGCTTTAACTTCCAACGAGGTGCCTTCAAAATGTAATAGGGTAAACACAAATCACATTATTAAGTTTAAAGCCTAGATCAAGGAAATTTTCTTTATCTGAACGTTATAACATAACTGATAGTTCAGATTAATATATTTAATAATCCATTTATGCGTTTATTTTAACTAGTCAGAGTTGAAGTTTAAAAATTTATATTAAAAAATTATTTAAGTTTAACACATTAGATAAAATGAGCCAGTTTACATTCATTGGGGTTTAAGGGCATGGGCGGGTGATGAGTACCAACTTTCTTAATTCCGAGTCTAAAGATGTAATACTTGGCTAATAGTTATAACTCAAAGAGTTAAGCATAAAAATATTTTTTTTAATTTTTTAAATCTTGCGTTGCCATGGTGACGGCGGCCATATTGGATTTTATTGACGATTTTTAAATGGAAATAACTCAAAAATGGTTTGTACAAATTTCATGAAAACTTAATATAGTCTGCAGACACATGTGTTTAAGACTTCTGATAGATTACATTTTCAAAAAAGAAAATAATTTTTTTTTTACTTTTTTTTTTCAAACATCACTGTAAAAATTTCATTATTTCGTCCAATTTTTTCACTATTTCAACAACAAAAATTTTTTTTTTACAAAAATTCCAAAAGTGTTCTATCAGTTTTATTTGAACATATATAAAGAGTAACTGGAGCAAATTTAGTTCAGTTCTGATAATTATTAACAAAGTTATTTCAACAATTGTACAAAAAAACATCAAACTGAGAAAAACGCAAAAAACAAACAAAAAGTTGCAAAAAATGAAAATTTATCGCTGTATGTCACTAAAATCGACCACATTTATAGCCTGAAGTTTGGTGCTGCTGAATATATTCCTTCTGAGCTTGTTCGGCTGTTAGTTTTATTTTTTTCTGGCGCTCTTTGTTTTACCTAGAGTTGTAGTAAAGCTGTTGTCATGGCGTCTTTTTTCGCGTCCTTCACTGAGTCTTCGACTATGGTTTCCTTCTTTTGACAGCAATGCCATAGCATGCCTGGGCCCAAAATTGAATTATGCTATCGCAGAAACAGAAGTATATTTTGCATGGTCTCATGTCTAAAGCCAATTATGATAAGACGATGTCGTTGTTTATTGTGAAAGGCCTTGTTGTGGATTCTTTTGCAGTTGTATACTTACGGTTTACAACATTTTTATTACTGCCACACCATGCTTGAAGCAAACCCTTTACACTTTTTTCATCAATAGTAGCCACTACATCACATGTATTGATAACATCAAGAAGCAAATCACAGTCGACAATAATTCTGCATGGCTGTGGTTTACAATTAGTACTACCAGTACGAGATGTAACAGTGCTTTCTTCTGTCTGTAAAAACTGTGTCTTACATTGCCGCAGTTTCTTAGTAAATGTGCATATTACATCTGCACCAGTGCTTGTCTGAATAGTGCTAGATTGAGTGGAGGTAGCTGCAATCAGTTGCATTCGGACGTGCCCTAGCTTTAGTAAATTAGTTAGATGTGTGTAGTGTATCTATTTTTAGCGAGTGTTTTGTTCTACGCATTATCGAAAGAGAAACAAATTAAATCGCCTCACTGCTTATGATAATTCACACAAACTAATCTAAACTGTTAATAGTATATTTAATTGAAATAATTATATGTTAAAATAATGTAAGTATTTTACAGAAGCTTAGAGAAACAAAACTAGATCAAACTTAGCAACGCGCTGAAACTAAGGGAATGTTTACTTACGAAGCGAAACGACCAATCGCTAACTAGCTTCCGCCGTCGAACGCCAATGAAAAAATTGAGGTCAAAAATTTGCATACCGGACAAAACCCGACTGAGTAAAATAAACAACTTTATGACGTAGAAAAATAATCACATTAAAATAGGTATTTTGATTGGTCATTTAATTTTAGAACAAATAAAGAAAGGAGGTCACGGCCTTTCCATTGATATGAAACACATTAGGTTTCCGCGAAGCCTAATAGTACTTTTCTAGGTCGAAAAATTGCTATTTTTACTAAAAAATTAAACAAAAGACCCTGTACACACTACATTGAACCCGGTTTTTCATAATTAAATACTAATTTTAGGGTCATAACAATGTCATTTTTAGATTCAACGATGGTTATTCTGTATAGATCAAGTAAAAGTGGGAAATCGATGATTTAGTGGATTTATGACGAAAAGTACACCCGCCCATGCCCTTAAACGGTTTCCCATAAAAAAAAATGCGCAAACGGAAAACTGCGCAATGGAAAACTGCGCAACGGAAGACGATGCAAAAAAAAAAAGCGCAAATACAAAATAGTTATACTAATACATTTTTATGACATCATATTTCGTGGGAAAGTGTTTTATTATGGGACAATGTACATGTGGTTTTTCTTTGCCAGTGTCTATACATGTTCTTTGTAAGAAAACATAAGCTGTTGCGTAACTTTTTGTGCGTAAATGTCCGTTGCATGGTTTTCCGTTTCTTATTTTTCCGGTCACCTTTTAAATGATATATTGTCTTTTTTAAAGATCATGTTATGAAATTTACTTCAGTATTTGTTCATGTGTATTTCAGGATGAAGATCAGACATGTACATCAGTAGTTTACTTAATCATCAGCGTCTTCGCAATATTGTTCTGCTGTTGCCCATTGGGCACTGTTGGTCTTGCTTACTCACTGTATGTAAGTTGTTGTTTACTTAAAAAAAACTCAGCTCTATATGAGGAAGATATTGTTGTGTAAAGTTCACGGAGCGTCTGTTGTACTTTCGTTTTCTATCCGTCATGGTAGTAATATAAAGCTAAGGACGTTGAAAGCGTCATCACACATAAATGGTTTTTGTTATTGCCTAGGGGAATAATGTTAATTTTGTAGACAGTGTGAAAAAGGACGATCGAATAAGGAGTAGGTATTGACTTGATATACATGTGTAGAGTAGGTTTTGTTGTTAGGTATCTCGAACATCAACGTGTACTTGTGTGTAGGTCTGTGCAAGTGTTTGAGATTACGATTGCGTAAGCGTGTGTAACTTTATGTACTGGCTTGTACGTGTATGTGTAGAATGTGTATATGTGCGTACGTGTGTCTATGTGTACAAGATTTCGTATGTTTATGTATTTTTACGTATACGTGCGTCATTGTACATGTTTGTACGTGCATATATGTACATAAATGTACACATGTGTTGCGTGTGTATGTGGATGTACGTCTTTGAAAGTGCACGTATACATGTACTGGTTCGTGTGTGTAAGAATGGCTACACGTATGTATTGGTGTGTACGTGTGCGTGTGCACGTGTTTACGTCTGTACACATGTACGTGTTTGTACTTCTGCGTATGTGTACATGGTTTTTCAAACCTCGAGGTGTTTCAAAACCACTTCTGCCTATATGTGTACGTTCGGTTGCAATAACATGGAAATATTTACCGTACATTTATTCTCCAATTGCGCTACAGGGCATATACATCCAATCAACAGAGTTGATGTTAATGCATGTCTTTATTTCAACACCAACCGACGTATCTTTCAGGCTTACACCTTGAACACCGACGGAGACTTCACAACAGCCAAACGTCGGGCCGACACCGCCTGCCGCTATAATATTGCTGCTGTGTTGTGTGGTGTGGTGATATACGGCGTGTCTATAGCTGTGGTGCTGATATCGTCGAGAGACGAGACGAAACAATAAAGCACTGGGACGGCACTTGGAGGTCATGATCATGTGACGGGTTGAGGTCAAGGCGACATTGACAGCAAGACAACAACGACAACACAGAAGACAAAATTTCATAAAATGTGGTGTTGCCATCACAAAATGTGTATATTTTAGCTAGTGCAGCTCTTGTTATTGATAAGCAGTTGGGAGACAGTTTGTAGCTTATATATATATATATATATATATATATATATATATATATATATATATATATATATATATATATATATATATATATATATATATATATATATATATATATATATATATATATATATATAACCCGTGCATACAACATCCATAATCTTCTTATATATATATAATTCTCTTCATGGAGACCATAGAAAACACCAAGCTGTAAGCGCGCCTAGCAGCCCCCTCTCTTCCTATCTAGGAATATCCCTACCACCCCCACCCCCACATGGTCTGGTGAACTGTAAAAGTAAAAGTAAAGGTAAAAGAGCTGTGGTTCATGCTAAATGTTTACAATCGTAGAGCCGGGTTTAGTGACGGCTATTAGGGGCTGATAATTTTGTTTGAAACGATTTTAAACTAAGGGGAGGTAACTAAGAGGAGGCTGCTTTCACGGGGGGGGGGGGGGGTGTAGGGTAGGGGTTGGGGGAAAGGAGGGTGGGGGGGGGGGGGGGTTATCGTCCTTAACGACCTACTGATAGTGTTTTAAAGCAAATATTTTCAGTGGCAGCATTGGTAATGTCAAATTCACAAATTATGAATTACTGAAAAGTAGAAAATAAAACAACTAGCGGTGTATGATACGCCGCGGGTCGGCTTGTGAAATAAAATTTCATTACATTAGAGGCAGCATATTCACTCTAATGGCATGCTTAAGCGTGAATGCTAAACGTAACATATTTGGTGTTCTATTATTTAAATGAAGTCTTTAACCCAAACCATGATCTAACTTGTTCTTCCGTTCAACAATTGTTTTATATTTTTTTCCATCTGTTCAACAATTGTTTTATAATTTTTTTCCACACATATATGTTTATTTAACTTTCCATTTTAATTGTAATTTTTATTTAACGCAACTATCAAACTGATTTAAAAAAGAGATAATTAAAATGGTTTTGATTTTGAATGTGTTATAAAAGGTAATATAAATATTTTTAGAGCTTTTTCCTAACAAGTGCACAGAGGATTGGGTTAGATTTTAAGAATACTAGATTTTAAGAAACACTAGTTTAGTATGTTCTGTATGGTTGTTACATTTTTTGTATAAAACACTTTTTAAACATTAAAATTGAGACAGAAAAAAAAATGTTAATATTTTGTTTTCAGTATATAATAAACTGGGAGTGATCTTTCCTAAACTTTCTCGAATATTCTTATATAAAACAACAGGGGATGGTAACTGGGGATATAGTTATGATTTTTAATCCATTGTAAATACTTAAACTTTTAAAAATAGAATAGAATCTCATAAAAAAAACATTGCGCACCAAGCAAACGCCGAATAAAAACGCGTATAATAGTGCGCAATATTATTAGTACTTTAAAAATTTACATTAGTTTTTTGAGAAATCGGAAGTAGCGTAAATTACTACTTCCAGTCAACGGAAATTACTCAAAATTTAACAGAAGGTAGAGAATTAGATCTTTTACTTACATGTGAAATTTCATTTATCTATCTGAAATAGTACTCAAGTTATAGGCTTTTGAAAAATTCAAAGTAGGAAAAGTACCACTTCCGGTTATCGGAAATCGCTCAAAAGTTGATACGGATCTACGATTTTGATAAAATACTTATATATGAAATTTCATCAACCTAGCTGTAACGGTACTCAAGTTATCGTGTTTACACACAGACACACACACGGACAGACACACACACACACAGACATACGGACAAGATTGCAAAATTATGTTTTTCCGTATCAGTGAGGTGTAAAACGTCGAGATTTGTAAAAATCTCGATTTTTTTTTTTGCACGATTACAATACTTTCTCTATACTACGTATATACGAGAAAGTAAAAAGAAATAGAAAGAAATATGTATACTATTGTTGTGAAACATAATTGCAAACACATACAAATAAGCTTACAGTTTCGGTTAATAAAGAATATAAGTTACCACAATTATCTTGTTTATCGTATATTTTTACAGTAATTCATCCTATGAGCCTACTGCATCGTCAGCACGAGAAGCATAGATGTTTTTTTATAAATGTGTTACCAAAATGTATGTAAACGAAACTTTAAGGAAGAAGCCTGGGGTTTTCCGGAGTCCTTAAGCCAGGTGCGTGCTTAGGTCTCTTTCGTAAACACCAGGGGCGGAACTACAGTGCCGCCAGACCCCGCAATGTGGGGGGGGGGGGGGGGGGGAAGAGACGACGCCATTTAGGGGCCCACAACCGACCATAATAATTTTTTTACAGTTAATTTTTTTTATTTACTTGTATTTTTGACTCGATGGTTGCTTTGTAAAAAAGAATACCGTAGCTGCGGTTGGATTATCTTTATACTATATACACTACCCCACGCTCTTGTATATTCGTTTTCCCTTTGTTTTTAAACCACTGTGAAAGCCGAGTCCTCTTTCTCCTAAAATAAAACTTATCAGAGATAAGCAACATGACATGATGGTGTTATTTGTTTTAACTGAAAAAAAAACAATTTTATTTTCAAAACTCGAATTTTGTGATTGTGTATATATATATATATATATATATATATATATATATATATATATATATATATATATATATATATATATATATATATATATATATATATATATATATATATATATATATATATATATATATATATATATAATGTATATATGGGGGGGAGGCCCTTTTTTTCTCGTTCCGCCACTGGTGAACACCACGATTTTTTAAAGATTTTCGCCCCCCCCCCCCCACCCACCACCATCAAATATAGTCTTAAAAAGTTAAGAAATGACGTCAAACCTAGCCTACCACACCTTTTAAAATTGCAGATTTTATTTTTAAAGAGCGATTTTTTTTCTGAAGTATTTGTTGACTTGAGCAATATTGAGCTTATTTATAAAATTGTATTGCAATTTACAAAAATACATCGTTTAACAAGCGAAACAAATGGTGAAAATTTAGTTTTAAAAAATTAATTTTATTTGCAAATGTGTTGTTACACATTATCAACACTAACCTTTCACGTCATCACACATAACCACACAAATTCGAACACACCTAACGTTGTTACGACGTTTATGTATGATTCCTTAAGGTGTCAGTTCTTGTTATAAAGTTATACAGTCAGATGGTTAGACAGACAGAACGTCAGTCAGATATTCAGACAGTGTAATACAGTAATGCAGTCATACAGTCATACAGTCATACAGTAATACAGTCGTACAGTCAAACAATCACACAATCACATAATCGTACAGTCAGACAGCCACAGAGTAACAAAATCATACAATCATTATGTCACACAGTCACACAATCGTACAGTCACACAATCTTACAGTCGGACGACCACACAGTAACACAATCAGACAGTCATACAGACAGACAATCACACAGACAGTATATTGATTCACTATAACTATCCAACGTTGTTCGATCAACGTCACATAATTAAAAATAGAACAGGGTGCCGCTCAAACGTCAAAAACTATTTACTACACCCCCCCCCCTGCCCGAAAGATAAAACAGGAAGCTATGCTTAACCTTATTACACATTTACCTAAAACCTGATATTTTACCTGAAATTTAAAACAAATAATGTAACTTTTGAGCTGGAGCTGGGGATAGTTGTAAGTTAATGTTAGGGTAGCAGTGGCGTAGCCAGGATCGTCTCAAGGGGGGGGGGGGGGTCCAATTTTTACCCGGGGACAAACTTTCGATTTGCACCCCCCATCAAACTTTTGATTTGCACCCCCCTCAAACTTTCGATTTGCACCCCCCTTATACTTTTTATATATACCGAGGGGTCTATGGGGGGGTATGACCCCCCTAACCCCCCCCCCCTGCCTACGCCACTGTAGGGTAGTTAAGGATCTACAGGGATCTCAAAAGGTTAGGGTAGTTAAGGATCTACAGGGTTAAGGTTAGGGTAGTTAAGGATCTACAGGGTTAAGTTTAGGGTAGTTAAGAATCTACAGGATTAAGGTTAGGGTAGTTAAGAATCTACAGGGTTAAGGTTAGGGTAGTTAAGGATCTACAGGGTTAAGGTTAGGGTAGTTAAGAATCTACAGGGTTAAGGTTAGGGTAGTTAAGAATCTACAGGGTTAAGATTAGGGTAGTTAAGAATCTACAGGGTTATCAAAGGGTTAGAGTAGTTAAAGATCTACAGGGATATCAAAGGGTTAGGGTAGTTAAAGATCTACAGGGTTATCAAAGGGTTAGGGTAGTTAAGGTTCTACAGGGATATCAAAGGGCACGAATAGGGATGGACCGGTCTCAATAGCAGTCTTAGTCCTTTATTTAATTTAAATATTGTTCTCATGTTCATTGGTCCGATTAAACGGTATGTAACAAGGGAAAAATTTGTGGGATTTCCTCAAACGGTATAGTATGTATAGTATTCAGCATACTGGATAAAAAAATTATATATATATACATTATACATATGTATAAATATACATACATATATATATATATATATATATATATATATATATATATATATATATATATATATATATATATATATATATGAATGAACTATCATAAACGCCACTGAATGAACTTATACTCTTCACCTACCTGGATTCATGTGTATTTGGTTGGCAAGGAAGGAGGAAGTGTTTGTTTGGTAAAAAAAAACCTCAAGCTCCATGAGTTGAATACATCGCGTGCTACATCCTTGATCACTCATTTTAACGCGTCCGTCATCTAAGTTCTAACAAGATTGTGTCTCACTAAAGAGCTTCTATTTTTTTTTACAAACATGGGGAATTAGTAGCGTAAAGCGTGACTACATTTTAAAAAATTCCGTGAGTATTTAGATGGTTTTTTAAAATTATTTAACATTGTACTTTTTTTTTATAAAACTAAATATTAAAACAAGTTTAGATACATGAGATAATAAAGCTGGAGTAATCTGTTCTAAACTTTCTCGCATACCCTTAGATATCAACAAGTGTTGCAATACTACTCCCAACGCAATCGGCCTATAGAAATATATAATTTCGTAACAAAATCCATAG